CATGTGTTTTAATTTCATAGATACAATGACAGATTTAAGTTTTGGGGCCGTATTTGAGGCATTGATATACAAATAATATTAATACTTTTGGAACTCTAAAATGTCTATTTCAATATAAATATTGCATAAAAATTATGAATGTAGAAAAATTAAAACACGGAAATAAGCAAAGCTATTTTTACAGCAACAAGTTAAAATATTTAAAGTTAACATCTTACATTCTAAAAAGTCTACGAAAAGTTTTTAATCGTAGTCATTTTGCACAAAATTGAGTAGAATTAAATTAAACAATATTAACCTAAGAAACATAAATAATATTGTGTTTAGTAGATTAACTCGCTAAATATGTTAAGTTACCTTACTTTTTCCATGATTTTCGTAATAAGAGTGATAAAAAAAAATTTTCTTGTATTATTTATACAATGAATTAGGCACATTTCCTATTCTTGATTTACATTCGAAATAATTTGAGATAATATTTTTCTGCCATTTAATAACACTTTTGCACAAAAATGTGTAATTAGAGTAACTGTAGTGATTATATAACATCTTCTGAACGATTTTGCGGCAAATAGTTTGATTTGTATAAAAAAACACAAGATACAACAGAAGTTACGTATTAAAACTTACTCTCAATTGCATTGCGACTTGCAGCGCCATCTCTGGGTGACCGAGTAAAACATACACCACCCGCTTGCAAGGTCACCGTGTCAACGACCTAACAACTTTTGCCGCCTACTGTTGTCGTAGGTCATAATTTTATGTCTTCTTTTTGTTTATCTTTTCGCAACTTTATAGCTGGCCGCGTAAACGCTTTTATTTTATGACTGCGTACTTATATTATCTTCTGTTTGAGATCCCACTTGTAGAGTTAGGTAAAGAAAAATTATGAATGCAGTAAATTAGGAGTACATTCATTTGCCTTATTATGATTATTAGGTACTGCCGTTGTGTTTTTAAAACACGATTAACTAATAAAGAAAAACTATATAGCTAGAAGCTATGCATTATAAAAAAATATGATCAATGTTAATTCTCGTCGTACGAGATTTGATTAAGACTTTTATGACTATTTTGAGTTTAAATTCACAGCACTGAATTATTCTCTATTTTGTTTCAGAAAGCGAGACCCCAAAATGACTACTAAGGGCAAACGCCCGATGCGCGCATTGACGCCCGGCGACAAAATCGAAGCAATCCAGCGCGTCAACGATGGGGAATCTAAAGCTTCGGTCGCGCGCGACATCGGCGTACCCGAGTCGACGCTCCGCGGATGGTGCAAGAACGAGGACAAGCTGCGTTACATGACATCCCGGCTCTCTTCGCCTGACACTGATAAGAGCAACGACGGGGAACCGCCAGACAAGCGCGCTCGTACTGAGTCACCTGCCGCGCCGCAATCCCCAGTCGCTGGCCTCGACTTGACCGCCCCAGCGCCCGCTACCACTCACACTCCACATGCCACCACCCCTGACGCACCCGTTGAGCTCACCACCAAACGCGCCGAACCTTCCCCACCTACACACGTACCACGCGAACGCCGCCCCGATCCAGGTGCCAGCGTCTCCATGAGCGCTATCAGTCCACTCTCTGGCCTCGGCCACATACCCGGTCTCACGCACTCTCACCTCGGCCTCAGTTTCAATGAGATCGCCACCAACCTCACTCTTCTCGCGCAATTGAACCCCGGATTGTCTGCATTATCCGCCCAACCAGCTAGCCGAGCATTGCGCTCCGTACGATCACCGAAACCGGCACACAATGGAGGACTCAACTTGAATGAAGTCAAACATCGCAGCAAATCACACCATCATTCCGACCCGTACAGATCGAGCGTAAAGTCGAGCCACCACAGCACGCCCACTACGACGGCGAGCCAACCAGTAGATGACACCCTATGGTACTGGCTCAAAACGCAGCAGGCGATGCTCGATCTCACAGCTCAAACTACCACGGCACACTCTCTTCAACTCGGAAAAACCGACTCCAGCATACCAGTGAAGCCTGTCACTCCAGCGGCGCCGATAAATTCGCACCTTGACTACAACAGGAACTCTTGGTTGTGGCAGTACTATAAACAATTCGGTGGTGCGATGGCATTACCTGAAGACAAACTCAGGTCTGCATCACAAGTGCCAAAGGAAAAGGCCGCTGAAAACATTCTATACTCACAACTCACTAAAGGAAAAGCCGACGAGGAGAGGAGTACAACTAGTCCAGTGCAATCTACCACACAATTAAGAAATGAGGAAGTACGCGAAACAAGCAACAAGGAGCCACGCGTCGCCGAACCGGCGGCGAGCCCAGAAATCGGTGTAGAAAACAAGGAACCGCTTACTGAGAAGTCCCACGAATCTAGTCGAAGTCATACGAAGGCTCGCACAGTGCTGGACAATCTACTGTTCAACAACAATAACCAACCGGCGAACGCGGAATCCGGGGGAGCAGAGTCGGGTGGTTGGGAGGCGGGTGCGGCGGAGGCGTTGGAGCACGGGGACAAATTCCTAGCGTGGCTGGAGTCCAGCGGCGACCCGAGCGTAACACGAATGCACGTGCACCAACTGCGTGCACTGCTGCACAACCTGCGCTCGCGCCGCGTTCCGCACACCACGCACGTTCCGATCGCCCCGCACGCACCGCACGTCCCACACGCCCCGCCAGCCCCGCAACTCGCGGAACTCGAGCACGCGCGCCGCAAATAGGCGCTACAGGGAAACTTCAATTATGTACATACTAAACGTCGCCAGTAAGCGTTCACTTGTGATATGTGTAGCCAAATTTGCGTAATTTCTTTGTTCTAAAAGGAAAGCTATGCGTTATTTCTCCTTTAGTTTTAAGACTCAATTAGATATAAGCTCAGACGCTTCTCTCGAAGCTCACCGCGCTTTTGTCGGACGACTACGTCGTTAGTTAACCCGTCTGCGAACTAAATAGACGATAAAAGTTTGAGTGTTATACTGGTCCGTAGTCGGCGTTACTTTCTTGCACATTGTTACGTGTTTAGACTAAGTAGTACAGCTGTATGTTGCCATTCGACTATTACATTCCTAGTTGTACCCTACTATAGTTTATAGTCGGATCCCCTGTGTTCTACCTCAAGTCAAAACTAAATACTAAGTCACGGCGTCCTTTCGCTAGCGAGGCGCGCCGTCGCGAGGGCGATAGGTGACGCGAGTGCGATACCAAATATTGAAAGGATGCGGTCGTATTCATTGTGCCAATCTTATGGACAAGGTAATATTGTTAAGATATAGATGACTCTATTGCGTTAGCGCTAGGCACTCGTTGTAATTGTTTTCTATTGCTCAGTATTTTATATAGACATTCTCGATGTCTCGACGCGGAATTGTATTATACGTTAAAGTTAACAGTTAAGGACACTGTGATCAAAATTATAAATTATTGAGAGATTATTAAATATTGTAAGTACATTCCTAATGAATAGAGTGTATTATCATAATGTTATAAGAGTTTGTCCATTGGTGGGCGGCGTCGTTGAGATGCACCACGACGCCGGCGTTTAAATAAAAAACATAAATAATATCTACTAATAGCTAAAGTTCAAAAATTGTATCTCCTTTCCACTGAAGATAGGATTATTGATTTGCATTTCATGTTAATTATATTAGCTCTACTTAAAATTATTCGAGAGAAGATATTTTGTACAAAATTAAAAATTTGATTATAAAATGATTCTCTTGTCACAGAGTTTGTGATCTCGAAAATGTTGAATGATTAAACTTGATTGAAAAATTGAAAATTTATTTATTTCGTCCTTTATTTTATCCACTTCCCTACCTTATTTTTATTCTGTAAATCCACGATAGAATAGATATATGATTGGTCTCCCTGAGGTCGAAAAAAGGGAGACCAATCATTTATTTAAGGCCAGATACACCAAAATGTGTAAGCAAATTAATTAACCTACCTACTTATTGGTATCTACTACTGTTCATTGGGTGATAGAAATTTACACTGGCACAAGGTAGTGCCACAAGTGTAAATTGTTGTTGATTTGTTCCAAATTTTGCAATTAGCATCAATCTACATGCCTTATATTATAGCTATTAACGGGATTGTTAGCACCATGTACCTTGTTTTTTGTATCTTGGGTATTTCGGCACTGTTGCAAGCGCCATGATCACGGAGTAACTGCTTTTTAACGCAGAACATTCGCGGAACCATGAATGTCTGGTCGTGGTTTTATCTTGACACACATGGGGATAATATCCAAATTACGACACTTCACTAGGAATGATAATGATTCCTTTAAGCACTCACACTTTTTCCGCGCGCGTTCTAGATCTTTTATTAATTTTGCTGTTTCCTGCCCGTACCGGTTGACGATGTATTGTTTTAAATTTTCATGGTTACTAACATTATAGCTATTAACGGGATTGTTACCATGTACCTTGTTTTTTAAGTTACTAATTACTCCATGTAACATTTAGTTACCTGACTTGCAACAACTGCATGCGAAACAAAAATAATCGCTTAAAAATTACACTTCAAAAAGTAAACAAATTCACTTCTTTAATACTGTGCTTAACATAAAAACTAAATCAGTTAACGGTGGAAATGTGGTGGTAAGATTACCAACTTCCTTCTAACTACATACGTAATAGGCCTACCGAAGTTTTAATAAAAAATATGGAAAAGCTTTAAGCACCAATTCATTTAGAAAATAAACAATTTTAATAGGTATAAGATAAATAACATTACCCATTAAAATTTCTATAACTTATCTATGTTAAATGAATTACCAAAATGAAAACTCGTTGAAAAATATTAAAAGAGCGAGTTTCAAAATGGCGCTGTGGTGGATTGTAGTTAATCGCATACAAAACCTAAACACTATTATTTTTAATAAGATTAGATCAAATAAAGATATTGATGTATTTTTTTTTTACTATTGTAGATACTAGGAGCGCCATCTGTAGTCAATCTCACACAACAATTACTCGGTGAAGTGGTTGGCTTAAACATAACTACCTACTTACGTGCAACATCGGTTTCTTGAGAGGTTCATAATCGAAGTAGTCTGAAACCAAAGCCGATACACCTTGCCACGTGTTGGTGTCCGCAAAACAAAGTTTAGTCGGACGAATCGATGTACACACCATTTTCTAAAATTTTAGTCAGTATTTATAATTACAATACCATTCTCTATTTATCACATTCTAATTTTATGCAAACGCCATCTAGTGGCGAAGAACTGAAATAACATAACACTGAAAAGTTCCTATGCTTTTTTACTAAAGTACCTAGTCTACAAAGAGTAAAGTAAGTATCTAGCCTACCTGCAATCCGCATTCATTAGGCACTTGCAACAACAAAGGTTTGCGAACTTTGTTTTTATAATGAAAATTATATTGTCTTCTGAAATTTTCAGCGTAAGCTAGCAAAAGTCGTTCCTTCGCGGTGTTTGTATAATAACTTTTAGGAAAGCTTGTACGAGTCTCAAACACAGGTTCTGTTATATGAGGCCAACACAAATTCACTATACCAAGTTCATATATGGCATTATTCAAAGACTCTAATGTTAGTGGCTCAGTAACATTTACAAGGCTAAATATTTTTGGTGGGATCTCTTCAAATTCACCTTCTTCATAGGGCCGATCAAATAATTCACTGGCCACATTCTCGTTTACTTCTATAACTGGGTCCAATGTATCGATTTCAGATTTCTTTTCTAAAAATGCATCTGGAGATATTTTAACTGTACTACTCATTTTCTATTCCTTCAAAATTTTAACAAGTAGTTAGGTTATGATACTAAAATTTACTGAAATTTTCGAACTTTATCTAATCATTCGCAAAGTACTTTTTATTGCTAATATAATGTTCAAAAACAAAATTATTAAACAGTATAATAATATTTTTCAAGCCACAAAATCTATTTTAACAGTTGCTTAGTTACTGAAAGCACGTGACTTTCAGTTCAATTTTCAGGTTTGATTCTGCGCACAGACTACTTAGATAGGTACTACTGTTTCTGCGGCGTCAAAAACACCGCGTTTTAAAGCGAATGTGTGAACAAGCAGGCATGTTTTTTATTTAGATCGAAAGTTGTTTTTAGTTCAATAGGGAATATGCATGTAATTCAAATCGTAATTAAGAAACCTCATTTTATTTTTATATAAACTCTTTTATTAGTAAGTTGTCCCTCCATAAATATGGTATGTACGTTTGGTGGTAAGAGCAAAAGTTTTATCGATAGCATTTTAAATATTTCGGGAGACATACAGGATGCATTTGCCAACTATTCACAGCTAAGAAGCGTTTTTCTTGATAGTAAAGGAGCATTTAATGACATAGATTTGATCGAGCTGGTATATCTACTACCAGCTCGATCAAATCGATAGTTCTTATATTAAACCAGGAAAAATTATAAGATTTATTTTTTACTTCTTTTATGATCGAAAAGTTTGAATTAAATATAATCAAAAATTATATGGTCAATAAGCAGTGTTTATAGGAGTTATGCAGGGAGCTACTTTGTCTCCTTTGATGTATTCATCGTACACGGCAGAAATACGCAGGTTCGTTAATCTTGAACAGGTTAAAGTATTAGAATACGCTGATGACTTAGTAGTATATACATCTAATAGAAATTTAGTTAAGGAACAAGTAGATATAAATATTGCACTAAGTAAGCTACCTATATAAATATTATAAAGTCAAATTAAAATTAGATCTTAATCCACACGAAAGTACAGTTATGTTATTTTATAAGAATCGAGGAGAAGTAACGGTAAATATAACATTAAATTCATTAAGTGTATCACAAGCTAATGAACACAGACTTTTAGGTATAATACTCGATACTAAAATGCCATTTACGTCCCTTGTAAACAGTATTGTAGTAAAAATGCAGAATGCTGTAAATATATTATAGTATGTAGCGAATGTAAGTTGGGGAATGGATCCCAAAATTGTATAATGATAGTATGTAGTCATTACAATTACGGATTGTTTTTATTAATCAAAAGATATTTGATCCATAAGTTAGATGTAGTCAAAACAAAGGACTTAGAATAATTACAGGAGAAATTTGCTCAACTCCCATTTATTATCTGCAGATTGAAGCAGGTAAAGCGTCTATTCATACTCGTATAAGAGCAAGTTATTTGGCCGAAAAATATTTACTTTAAGTAGTAGATAACGAACGGTATTATAATGAATATTTTATCAATCATATACATATTCCTAACGAATTCAATTAGGAATTAAAATTAGAATGTAAAAATGTATTAGAACCGAAAAATGGAATTTTGGATCTCTCGAAACTCAGTTGATGCAAATTCATATTTTCCCAATAAAAAAAAATGAATAACACGGAATTTGTTAATTTTGTATATACAGAGAAGAGAGAGTATAGAGAGATTTAAACCGATGGTTCTCAAGCGAAGAGTGCGGCATTCAAGCTGCTGCTTTTTATGATTCACAAGAAAAAAGCTGGTCGTTGATTTCATTCAGATAGCAATTCTTCTATTTTTACGGCTGAGGGATTTGCTGTTTACGAAGCTTTATTTATTTATTTAAACTTCATTGCCAAACATATGCAAACGGCGGACTTAATGCCATAGGCATTCTCTACCAGTCAACCTGAACGAGTGTAAGTGACAAATGGTATGGCGATAGGGTAAAATGCTTTATAATAAAACATTTAGAAAATAACGGTGATTAAAATATATTAATATTATTAATATAATAAATTATATTAGAAATATTTATCAAAAATTTATTTATTATTATTACGGACTCTCTCCGTGTCTTACAATGCTGAGAATCTTGTACTATATCATATAAGAGAAATATTTACATTTATAAAATAAAAGAACTTCTGAAATTCTTTGAAGAAAATGGAATAATTATTGAATTAATGTGGGTGCCCTCGCATACTGGAATAACAGGCAATGAAATGGTCGATTCCTTAATGAAACATAGAATACTAAGTATGCCGGTTGTAGACCGAGCAAGTCCGTTGTTCCCATTCCTGATTATTTTCTTTTACTAAAACAAGATTATATCTAAAGTGGTAAATGTACTGAAAAGACTTTTATTGAAAAAGGTGCATGGTATGCAAGAATACAAAAGTTGTCTAAATTAAAAAATCCTACAAGAAAATTCATTAGAACTATAAATACACTACGAATAGACTTTTCGAGCTAAGCACTCCAAGAAACATTAGAATGAATCACACCGACATTCTAATGTAATAAAAACCTAAGATTAATAAAACTAAAGACTTGGCGGTATGTGCATTGTTCCCTTTGCCTTCCTTGAAAAGGGAGAATCCTAAAAAAATAAAATAAAACATCTGGCTGTCAATGTCAAACGCGTCAAAAACGGAATATTTCATAATTATAAGTTAAAATACAAATTCAATTGTGTGATACGATACAACACTACCATAATAACAACATGAACATACATTATTATTCACACTGCAGTTTAACTTCAAAGTCATAATTTTCTAGTCCTAACCTAGAGTTTACTGTGACTAATTACTTCCACATTTGTGAAGATTTTATACGCATTACTTATCGCGTAAAGGTACCTACACGGTACAAAAGGTCACGCATGCACTAACATTATTTAAAGCTCAACATGGGTAACAAGTCGTCATTATTGCTGCGAGAAGAAGAAATAGCTCAAATTCAAGAAGAAACAGGATGTAAGTAAATTAATAATTTCCATTTCTATTCATAAACAATAAGTCTTTTGTTGAGACATGTTACGTTAGTTAAAGGTCATTAAAAGTTAAAAGTGATACAAAAATCTTAACATAAATACATGCACAATGCCTTTAAAAAAATCTTCAATCATTTCAAAACAAAAATAAGCAATTCCTTCAACTTCTTTTACAGTTACACCAAATCAAATTGAAAGGCTTTATTCTCGGTTTACATCTCTTGACAAGAATGACTGTGGAACACTCTCCAGAGATGACTTTTTGAGGATTCCAGAACTAGCCATCAACCCATTGAGCGAGAGGATTGTACATAGTTTCTTTGCTGAAAGTCATGATGACAGAGTGAATTTTTTGCAATTCATGAGGGTGCTAGCGCATTTCAGGCCTATTCGGAAGAACAGACAAAATAAATTGAACAGTAGAGAAGAAAAACTGAGATGTGAGTAGCAAAATGCATACATATTTTTGTACTTTTATGATAGTGCAGGTTCATAGTTTAATTTTCTTTTGTTTATTTATCTATTAAGTTTTTTTTATATTTTCAGTTGCCTTCTCTATGTATGACCTGGATAATGATGGCAAAATCTCCAGAGATGAATTACTTGCTATTTTACACATGATGGTTGGAGCAAACATCAGGCAAGTCACTGTTTCTTATCAATTACGGACTTGTAATACTTGTTATCAGTTAAGGCCTTATAATACCATTTATAAAATTAATACTTGACAACAAATTTATTGATTAGATAACTACATACAGTCTATTTATTAAGGAGATTAAACAGATAATCTAACAAAAATACAATACACATACTGCCTTATTACAAAACATAGACTGAAGTTTGACCTGGAGTAAAACTGATGTTGTTACTTTCGTTTGCTAAAAGAAGAGAGAGAAAACAGTAGGTTTAAACCAAGACTAGCTTTTGGAGGAAAAGGAGATGAGCACTCACATCCTGCTACAGTGCAGGACCAGACAATGGATGACACACCTGGCCAGCCTGCAGATGCTATGCACCAAGAGACTGCTGAGCTTCTTGGGGGAGTGGAATAGCATGACTAAAGCCATCCTCTCACGCAAAATAGGTACCTGGTGTTGAGTTGCGGAAAACACCCTTTGTACAGAAGAAGAAGACTAACTTTAGTGTGTTTTGGAATAAGGCAGAGTTAGGTCAAGTTGTTTAAAAACAATGATGAGGAATACCAACCCATGGTTTCGCCGAGTGTACACATCTGCACATTGATCACTATCTGCATATTTATTAAATATACTTATTTATATTGAAACTCAGCAAAATTATATAAACGAGTGTTTAGTGAGATAACACATCTGGCACAGAGAAGATTGTAGTCCATAGGGCAATGTTGTATAATTTGCATATATCAAACCTTTACACTGTCAACATCAAGTGGTGTAGTCATTTTTGATCCTTAAACAAGCCCTAAGAGCCCATATCAAATGCCTTTATTGCTGATATTGCCAAGAGCCTAACTCCCATATATTTAATGGGCCTAGATTAGAGTAGATAACAAAAATAACAGATTGACTTTACATTTCAGTGAAGAGCAGCTTACTAGCATTGCAGAGCGCACTATCCTTGAAGCTGATACAAATAATGACCAGATGATCTGCTTTGAAGAGTTTTGTCACGCACTGGAGAGAACTGATGTTGAACAGAAGATGTCCATCCGGTTTCTCAATTGACCACCACACTCCTGAACCATATACATCAAGTATATTTTGACCATAGTGCTTGGTATCCTTATCTATGGGCTATTAACTAAAAAATGAGTTCATTATGCTCTTGTGGACACTACAGCTTATTATTTTTTAGCTTTGTTGTGTACATTATGTAGTCAAAGTCTAACCTTAGTTGTAGTTATATGGGCGTTTATTAATTTATCATAAATTATTGACTTAGTGCATTGTTGTTATACTGTAACAATTATGAATTATAAAATTAGTTGTTCTATTTATATTAACATCACTTAAAGTAAATATAGTTGAAAACTATTTGCTTTTAAGACAAATGTAGGTAGGTACACTGTTTTGCCCTAGTAAAACTTATAAAAATACTTCTTTAGTAATATCAGTTGTGTGCAGTGAAAAAAATAGAACTTTTGCGTCAATAATAAGCTACCGACAATAAACCAACTTAAGGTAGAAATTTTAAGCAATATCTGATAAAGTCCCAAGAACAATATCAAATTTCGTAACATTCTTTAGCTAGTGTAATTAAATAAATAAATAAATAAATAAATAAATATTACCAACACTCACACCAATTAGCCTAGCCCCGAAGTAAGCACTGTAAGGCTTGTGTTATGGGGTACTAGGGTAACGGATAGAATACATATATTGTACATATATAAGTATATTTATATAGAAATAGATATTAAACATCCATGACTGGAGTACAAATGCTCGTATTCATCACACAAACATCTGCCCCCACCGGGATTCGAACCCGGGACCTCTCGAGTCGGCGACACCATGAAACGCGGCGTACAAACCACTCGGCCACGGAGGTCGTAATTAGCCTGCATGTTTTGAAGAATATGGTCATACTCACCTAATCTCGATCATTGGTTATTTAGTTAAAATTTCTAGAAGATGAAAAAGATATAACGTGACCACAGACATTGACGAGGCGGAGGCAAGGACACAAGGACAGGATTTTTGGTAAAAAAAACTGTCATTCCTTATTTTGTTGAACTAATCTAAAAGTATAAACCATTTTTATTGAACAGTAAAAAAGTAATACTTTTTCCCCCAATTTCCATGACATAAGCACACTTTTAGTTACAAGATACATTATCATGTGATGTCCAATATTCCTTTTATTTATTTTACTATCTTTAATTGTATATATGTATTGTAATAGTGATAGTTAAAATTCCTTTTGCCTTATGCTTGAAGTCTTCACTCATATGCATATATGATGGTGACCAAATAAAACCTAGTTTGCTTTAATTTTATGTACTTCACAATAATCTTGGGTTACTTTCACATGGTAAAATGTAATAAAATTTGTTTGAGTTAGATATACGATGTTTGTTATAAGTGCATTTAATTCAGGTTGTATGTTTGTACTTAGAGGGCTTATTAGTGTTGTGTATTGTAAGTAGTTGAAGAGGCTCTTAAAATTTCACTATGGTGGCATAATGAAAGCACAAATTGAAAAACAGCATAAACAAATATTTTTAAAGTGAAACTTCTTTTCGGATAGGTTTAAGTGGAAAAGATGAAACGGAAATGAGTCACACAACTATATATACATGCGTGTGTGTATGGGAGCTATTCCCGACAAGCATGAAAGTTGAGGTTAACTCGGCGGTGGCTGAAACGCTACCAGCGTCACATGTGACAATATATATAATACATATATATGAGTGATGCGTGCGCTGCTCCATTAGCCTATGCCATAAGCACTGCCTAGTGTGGGGCTATTTAAGAAAAGAAGTTTCACTTCAGATATGTGGTCCGTGCACACAATTTTTTTATTTAATGACCAACTACAGAAATTAACCTTTTTCAAAAATACTTTGCTGTGGTGTACAAATTATAAATGTAAACACAAATAATTAACACCGGCGTTTCGTGTTTTGCTATTTGTAAACTTAACATCATACGTCCTTTTCATCCTTATGGCTCGATTACACTTGGTCGTTAGCACGTATTCGGGTACACAAAGGACACCCGAAGCATATGGGAAACCAAACAGAAAACTACCCCAATACGGGTTCGGTATTCATTTGCACTTAGTCGTTTACCCGAATTCTTTTAGCAATGGTATTCGGGCTAACGGCCAAGTGTAATTGAGCTATTATAAAGCATGATATGGACAGACTGTTGTCAAGTTTAGAAATAGCCAACACGTATAGCCAAGTGAAGTGCAAAATAAGGAATAAAGTGTGGGATTTATGCCACCAATGAGTGTACAAATTAAAATATTATGAGTTGGAGAGTTGTTACCAAATAAGTTGGTAATAATTACTTGTGTATTTATTTAACGTAACACAAAAATAAATCAATTATAAATATTTTGTACAAAGAAACAGTGTTTCATTGTTAAAAAACAATACAAAATTTATAAGGTTTATGTAGATTGTAATGAAAATATATTATGTTTGTAGTAAATGTTTTAAAAAACTTTATGAAGGAAAGTAAAGTAGCTATCCAAATATAATTGAGATTTTTCCCAAAAGCCAGTCTAGTGTTATTATTACACAAACAAAAAACATCGAAAGGATTTTAAAATAAAACATCCATTACATATTTATAAACATTTAATTTCATAAGTATTAACTTACATAGCATTTTGTAAAATATATTTTTAAACGTAAAATTAGAAATTAACGTCGATTCACACCTACAGCACCTAATGTCTGATAATTAAGTATATTTAAGACATCGATTTTATTCCAATACATCAACACCAATTATTTTAGTTAAAACACATAATGGGTCAAATACTGATTCTCTACACTTAAAATTAAATTTGACAACAGACTCGTTTTCATTCTCCTTAGAGCGTGATAAGGATATAATGCTGATAATTTAGTTTCAGATTTTGAGTCTTACCAGAATTAGACCCAGTTTATGAATAAACATCATTATATAATGTATTTATAAGGCCTTAGTATAGTAAGCGAAAGGACATAATGCGTAAATAAACGTAAACCGCAAAAATCGTACAAAAATGTACAGAGCGATTGCCATAATTGTTTGGCATTAGTCTAAGTCAAAATATCTGAATTCATATTAGATACCTTCTCTAAGTCGGTTCTAAAATGTCTCTAAACAAAAATGGACAAGAAATTATATGCGCTTGCACATCACCTTATTAAAAATTACAATAGTTCCTATCTGCATGTTATCTGTCATAACTGACACACTGTACATGACTCAGTATATCAAAGTAAATTGAACGTACATATAAAATTCTGATCTGGTATAATGTTCTGTCTACATATATACTTGTTGTGAACTTTAACTGGAGCAACATGCAATATAAGATATAATAAATTATAGTAACAGTTAATACTAAATCGATATTACCTACGAGTGAACAAAAACGTCCGCTTACTATACCATCAACCTGTACACACTTAAAACAACCAATAATAAGATTAGACAAACATCGACCTTAATTCTTCCCATATAGAAGCTAGTTTACCACTTATAAAACAGCATCGGCAGCGTGTACCGTGACAGTAAGAATAGACTGATGGGGAAAAGTGGTATGATGAATCGAAAATCGGCGATACATTCACGGCATGAACGGTAACGACCTTCGGGCAATTGTGGGGGTTCGCCGATTTGAAATACTGATAGGGCGGACACTGAAAGTATTATTGGAATATTGGAATCAGACATGAGTGCCGGATGACGTGAATCATCCGCGTTCGTTTGTTAAGCGGTCGATGATACGGCTAACTTCTTGAGGTGCTCCATGAACACTTGCAGCGAAACGTCGTCAGTGAGCACGGGGGCGCCACCGTCCTATATTGGGTAAGAAATAGAAGGTTTTATATTAGACTTTGAGCTTTGTTTCCTGTGATAGAGTGAAGGTTAGACACTTTAATAGATATGTAAAATGGAAGTGGTTCTCAATTAGACTGTATTTTTTGAATAAAAAAATGAGAAATTTGTTTTTATTCTTATGTTAAGATTGCTACGCAAAAAATATATATAAGTAAGTAGATTAGTTCCTCAACTATTTTATTTATAGGATTTATAAGGGATTAACTATTTTCTGTAGATTAACGTGCATTCTTATTTTATTCTTTGCAAAATAAATTGTTAATAATCAACAAACATAATTTTAAATATATTTTAAGTTCCAACTAATTAAAAGTGTCAACCTTCTATCATTCACAGATGTAAAAAACTATATTTGTTAAAATATAAAATTAAAATGGTTACAGGCCACCTCCTTAAAAAGCTTTCATATTAACAATTTTTATATTAACAAATTATATAATAAATTTACACTTAAGCAGTTAAACGTCACAAATATTCATTATATAAAAAGATACATATTGCATTTTGTATATAAATGACACAGTTGAAATAATAAAACTAGTTTAAATGTAGCATATTATTAAAATAGAATAATTGAAAAAAGCCCTTTAAGCGCCAATTATAATTTTAATATTAATAAGCCATTTGTATAGATATATATATAAGCACCCAATCCACGCCCAATAAAAAAATGAGAAAAAAACACTACCGCTGATGGTATCGGCATCGCCTGGTTTTCGCCAAAACAATGATGGAACAAAAAAAATAAAAAGTCAAACCATGCTTCCATGGCAATTTAGAAAAATAACGTGCAATTTTTGACAATTCATTTAATTTCATGCATTATTATTTTGTTCAAACTAAGGATTTGGTAAGTGGAAAGTTATGCAGATTTTAATCAAATAATTTTTAAGTGATAAAACATTACATACACCGTTATTTATTATGTATGTATCTTTAAAATTGGTTTTATTAGAACTGTATTTGTCGTAGATTTCTTTGTTATTCCGACACTTCACATGGCTATTCAATTTTTGCAATTTGTTATCTTGACAACAGTCTGTCCTTTTTTTCCTTATCCCCCTGGTGGTGAAGACCTCCACATTGTTTTTCACGGCCGGAAAAAAATCAGGCCTATCTTCCTCTTGTTATTTGAGTTCTACTGTACATCCAGGCTTTAATTATGTCTTAAATCAATCTTAAGTAGTTTCTCTACAAACTTATCTTTATATCAGATGTGTAAATTAAAAACCATTATTAAATATCATAAATTAAATTTTGAAAATAATTTTCTCAACTCGTGGCAGAAATGATCCACTCACACAGACGAGGGGATAAAGCGCATGATAAGGACAACCTGCTGTCAAAATGAAAAATAGCAAATACCATAGTAAGTATCGGCGTTACACAATCAGCAAGCGTAATAACAAAGATTACCGTGTCTCGGTATAATATATATTAAGTGATTCTAAGCAAAAACAGCAATGGTAAATTAATCTAGTCCAGTGGTGGGTAAAGTACGGCCCGCGGATCACATCCGGCCCACCGACAGGTTTTCAATTTGGATTATATGGTCTGAAAAAAATTACTTTCGAAGATTGGATGTTAAAAAGTAGTTCAAAAAGTTTGCCCACGACTGATCTAGTCACTAACTCTAAATACAGCTTTATGGGAATCATCACTTGAATATGTTGATAAACGATAGTTTCTACAGTAAAACAAGGCAGAGCAATTATTAACAAGAAATAACATGTTTTCTTGACTATGGCTAGCTTTGCTCTTTATTCATTATGCAACAGCCACTTTACCAAGTACTATCACGTTTCAAAGATTTCACACATGAAAGTGCACATGAGTAACAAAACTAAAGCAAATTCACGTCACGATGCACCATGTGATTCAATTTAAGATTAATGAAATAAAACAAATTTAATGAAAGCTGAAGTTGCCTCTGACATTTCCTGAAGAAAATATAATAAACGTTTTAAAGAAAAAATAAAGACTATTTGACAAGTTTTTCAAAATGTTCATACGTTATTTCTTACTGTATATTGTCCACTCCATAAAAAGTGGATATTTATAATTCTGTTGCGTATATCAGTAAAATAACGAAAATAAAATGCCACGGAAATGTTTCTCTAGCCAATAAAACATCAAACAGTCGACACATATTTACAAGCCGGTGACGCCATTTTAGGCTCCGCCGAACCTAGGCATTTTCAGTCACATGACAATTAATTAAAAACTACTTTTCTATTTCATGATTTGTAGTAATATTATCAACAACTTTTTTTTTCAGAATAGCGAAATCGCTTCCGATATTTATTTTAAATACACATGCTAATCATTGGTTCTTTATTATTCATACTGTCAAATAGCCTATTCAAACGCGCTCAGCAACAGCTGCCATTAAATTTAAATCAGTGTATAATTATGACCGAGTTATATAAAATTATAATAATACTGACCCCTCCATACGCGTACATGTTGTTGTGGGTCTGTGACGGGTTCACCTTAGACAGCAGGAAGCGGGCCTGGAATTAAATAATTCATAATTAAACATTATTCCTACCGGAAATCTAATCAATGATATCATGCTAATTTCAAAGAAGAGACAAACAAAGCGATGTAAGTGCTTTGTGACCTTTTTTTAACCCACTTTATTTATATAAGATCAGTTGTATTGACTTGGGAATAGCAATCTAACCTTATCAAAACCCTATCCCCTAGCCGCAAAGAGAACGCAATCCCATCACAAACATCGATCTTTGTATTTACAACAATATTGGTAAGATAAACGGTTTCATCAAACGATCAAAGAAAAAAGTATCTACAGCACGTTTTCTGCGTCATAAAAAAAACCATAACTAAAAGAATCCAGTGCGGTGTGGAAACAATGCGGTGGCCAGAGTCGACCGATAACGCGGCACAATGCTGTGTAGAGCTGTGTTGACGGCGCTCGCCATCTCATGTACGTTCCCACGCGAACTAACGCACGCTCTCAGTCAGGGCACACCACGTAAAGTCCACAGAAAAGGTTTCAATAACAAATGTTTATTGTAAATACAAAAAAAATAATTGAACTGGCTGACAGTAGCACGCGGAGAAGGTTACTTTCTGTGACACGTTTAAAAAGCCGAAAGTGTAGTGAGCTCTTATCGTAAATCGGGATCGTAATCGTTGTTTTCAGATTTAATATGCGTACTGTGGTTGAGTGGACTGCAAAAAGAAGACTTGGACGTAAACATGCTGAGGAAACTGCAGCGACATAATGTAAACATCAATGATAAGAACCGCGAGTGAGTTTTACATCATAGATATAGTACAGCTTTTGATGTGTGCGAATTGTGAATGTAAGATTTGTTGCAGCAGTTTGAGAGAAGACTGCTTAAAGCCAGATACGGAAAAAGACAAAAAAAACGAAGAGAAAAGTATGAAAGTTGACGAGGACGAAACTAGAGCAATTACATCAGCACCGGAAAGTAAGCTGTCATAATAAAATTTCACATAATCGGTAAGTTGATTGATCACTTTGTTTTGTTTTAGGTGAAACTGAAATCGTCACTAAGTCTGTTGAATTTCATCCAAAAATCGACAAACAAACAATGTTAGACATACAGGAACAAAGGCAAAAGAACCAAGAAAATTATTCTACAATCATACAAAGAAATCCCGAAATAATTGCATCTTTTTTGGAAAATAACAGTGAAATCTTAATGAGTACAACCGAAAAACCTAGTTCTTTGAATGCAATTAATAAGACAAAACTACAGGATGTTATTAATTTCTGGAAAATGTTCACAACCTCCAAATATAAAGATCACACTAATTTTGTAACAAAGAGAACAAGAACAACAGAAAAATCACAAAATGTATCGTCTGAAAACCCCATCGTAGTTCATTTTGAGCGGAGTTCTAAAGAAGTGAATATTATAAATAAATTGTTAGCGGACTACTTCGACAAAACCATACAACCTTCTACGACAGAGAAAACAATTATATCCAATGTGGATTTGAGCAATTTATACAGGCTCACCCAACAATTTGAGAATTTTATGAAGATAATATCGCAGAGCAATAAAATGTTTGCAAATACTAATAACAATAAATTATCCTTAACTAATAACACTAGCAAAGATGATAACTTCCGCAACAATAATAATATTCCACAACAAACATTAATAATGAGGGCAAGTAAAAAAAAGTATATAGAAACCAATTCAAAGAAACACTCTATAAGTGATATCAGCAATCTACTACTTTTTAATGATCAACTAAAAAGATCCTTTGCTATAACTAATGAAACCTATTCACCATCTTATCAAATGCAAGAAATGGAACGGTCAAAAAACAATCAAGAATTTTATAACACTAAAACTACTAAATACGTAAATACAGACTTTAATCAACAAGAAATCAATGTATTCTCTAAAGATATGATGAAAAAAATTGCTGAAAACGTAAAGGCAATAGTGTTGAAAGATTTAAGACAGGAAATAATTTCAACGACTTCTACTTACGCATCTACGTTGGCTACAACCGAGACTTCTGTGACAACTAAGAATACTTCCTCTAAATCAGGTAAGGTAACATCTAATTCAACATTTTTAAACTAGAAATCCAGATCTCGGATCTTTACGAACTCTGATATTTGGTCCTTCAATCATCTTATAATATTTTAAAAATATTGAATTTTTTAGAAATTTTGCCAGTAACTGTGAGATATGCAAATAAGACCGCAGAGACAAATCAAGTTCTGAAGAATATTATGGAACTCGTGAAAGAATTGAAAGACTTAAAAGATAAAACTGTTTCGATAACTAGCACAACTACAGAATCGATTGAAAAATTTGATACGGAAAATGTGTACGTCAGTAATCGTTTGCTAAACCAACACAGCCTACCCATACAAATGATGAATCCATATGTAAGAAAAAAACCACAAAAAATAAAAAGTTTCTATAAAACATATGAACCAAGAAGTATTACAGGAAGTCAAGCCCCTTTAAACAACATTAATCAAGCAAGAATGCGCATCGATAATGTTCCCAATTTTATACCAAATAAAAAAATTAGCGAATCAACTATAATTCAAACAAATTCAGGCGAAATACCGCCTTTAGGTGTTCCTGTGTCAAAGCCCTTGCAACTTATACATCAGAATATAGTAGTGACTACTGCGCCTCTGGCAAAGACACTGCACTCGAGTGAACTATGGGCGAGTCATCACACAAAAACCAATGACAGGGATAAAACTATAAATCGTTTAGAACACTATCGATATTCAAATTATTCGCAATACAACCCTATTTCAATAAATCGACAAATAGGTAATTTATTGCATAAACCAATATACCGATATCCAAATCGACCACAAGATAGTTCTCACGAGGGTTATCGAGGATTTAATCGCTCCAAAAATTGGCAAACAGGTAATTTATTGCAAAATCTCAAAACCATATACCATTATCCACATCCACCACAAGACAGTTCTTACGAGGGCTATCGAGGAAATAATCGCTCCAAATACAATCGGGACAGCAGTTATTCGCATCACAACACCGACTTGTCTTATCGCACAGAGTTCGACAACAATCCAACTTCCCGAGATTTATATCGCTTACGATTCGATTCCAATCATAAAAAAACTAATTCCTATCCTAGTAAACATGATTTAATGCTATCCCATTATACTGTTGCACCCGTGTTCAGTCAAACCACAAATAATGAACGTTACGAGTTGAAAGATGAAGAACCGCGACACAAAGAATTTATTGATAAATCAAGATCGATTAGTACGGCGAGAGATGATCATCGTTTGAATATGGAGTCCAAAATGAGACAAAACTATTTTAATAATGACAACCGTGACCTAAAAAAGCATTATGAAGACACCGTTGATAGCCGTAATCACCACGCAGACATAAAAGGCTTCCACGAACGGTTGGAAAGAGTTGATAACTGGCGAGACGAGGCCAAAGATGACAAAAAAGAGAGGGAATGTTGTGAGACATTAAATTTAGCTTCGAGGCAACAGCAAGCACTTAATGCCATGAAAACGAGATATGATGACACGCATTTCAAGAACTTTTTGAAGACACAGCAAAAAGTCAACGATATGCTAGAAAAGATGCTGTCGTCTAAAAACTCCGGGCCTCGCAGCGTAGAAATTATTTGAAAACGTTCGACATTAAATAATAAATACATTTAAAACCAAATGTATCTTACTTAAAAGCGGAGCCCAAAATTGTTAAGTACTAGCTTGCGTTTGCAAGTTTATCTGCATAGGAGCCCACAGGAAGCTAACATTTGTTAGGGCTCAAAAGTAAGTTAACTCTCAATCTAGGTAATAAACTATATTTGTGCCAAATTTCATCGAAATGCGTTCGTCGTCGTTTCTGTGTAATTAAGTAACATCCATACAAACTTTCAAATTTCTATAATTGGAGGATATAATTATATAGCAAGATAGACATAATGATTGACACATTCTGTAGTTAATATATTTTTAATTTTATTGCAGCAATATATAAAAATCACATTATGATTCAATATGGCATAATAGTGTTTTGTTAGTTAAATCGAGAGTATTTATCGATGATTTTTTACTTATAATTTAACCATTAATACTGACCTGTGATCCTCCATGTTCTGTGTCAATATAACGCGGTACAGGGAACCGACTTTGTAGGATCTCCTGCGCATCGTCTATGGGCGCGCGCAACAGCTGCGCGAAACTCTCATACTCCGCCATGTCTTGGTAGCGGAGCGCTCGCCACTGCGCTATTGTCTGCACATAAGGATTATATTTGACTAAGGAGGCGTTCAAGAATTACGTAACGCAATTTGGGGGGAGGGGGGTCTTGTAAATTGTTACGATGCGTTACAGGGGCGGGACGTACGTAACATCGTTTTTATATAAATAAAAAAAACTTGAAAATTTAATTTTAATTTAGTTTTTTTACTGAATTACACAACAATTAAAAATACCCACTTTTATGGACTCCATGAACATTATAAAAAATAACATGAGATCGTTTTCTAAAACTTGTCAAACAACACCGTATTATAATACTTACCTCCCCATGGTATATGAGGATCTGGAAGAACGTGTCCATGAGCAGGATGCGATCTGGTTGAATGGAAGATGTGTCCAACAATACGGGTTCCGGGGGACCTCCGAAACTGTACGAGTACAGGATCGGTTGGATCATGATTAACGACTGGGTAAGGTCCTCACGCATCAGCATATGTCTGTAATATACCGCTTCAGTAAAATTCAAAAATCTTTCAATCGATTTAGGTTTATACAAGCACTAGAAGCTACGCCATCGATTCGCAAATCTATTGCGGGTGACTGTAATAGACAAAAACATTGCTTTCCAACTTGGTCAGTAGGTTGATGAAGGGTGTATTCCGAAATATAACATCAGTATACTGGCCAGTGGTAACGGCGCCGGCGTCACGAATCTGACGCCATATTGTACTGGCATGCTACCATATTCTACCGGGAAAACAGATATGACGTATGACCGAGCGTGCATGAGATACATTCGAATTTTATTTCTTTTTGATTTAAAGAACAATAATCGCATCCGAACAAAAACAATTCCTTTTAATTGATGAGGTGAATAAAAAATAGCAATAAGCACTATTTTTAATATTTCGTCGATTTATGACGTGGGTACACTGGCCAATATATTTCGGAACAATTCGCCAGTATAGCGTCGATTCATGACGTCATTAGCACTGGCCAGTATACTAGTATATATTACGGAATACACCGGAAGTATATGACTCTTATGTCAGTAAAGATAGCCAAAGACCAAGCTATACAAAACTATATTTTTTTCTAACTGATATTGAGCTTTATATTGGTTGATTAATGATTCATAATCATAAATAAATAATTTGACTTTTTATGTTAACCTGATGTGTGGCTGGCTGTGCACACTTTAATTTCATTGTATAAGGAAGTGGTAGTTATTGAAACCGACACAGAGGAATATCTTTTTTTATTCATATTTATCACTATCCCATTCTATTTGTTTATGTAAGTTCTGGAACTATGCCAATTTCATCCATAAAGTTTTATACTGCTTTCTTAAAGGTCATTACGGAAAACTATTTATATTTAATTAATATTATATCTGAACTATCTGTGGCATGAATATGAACAACTTGAACAAAATAAAATTACTTATAACTGTAACCGATAGATGAACCTTTAGTCAAATTTTAGGATTGTTCATATCTTTAATCTTTACCAAGCAAGACAACGTCTGTCAGTCCGCTACTAGGTCATAGAATTACACTTCAGAAATAGATAATATTACAGTATCATAGAGTAAATTACCTATAGAAAGTGGTCTCATCAGGCGAGTTGTTGAAGACCTGCAAGAATTGCGATCGGCGCAGATGGTACATGAACTGCGGGTACAGGCTGAAGTTCTCCGACAGACGGAAACTGTTCGGGTCGTCCTTACCGTACTCGCCGAACTTTTGACACTGTTGGACAAAATGTGATGTTATTCATAGTGTTTTTTTTTATGTTAAAAAGGAGGCTGTCCCAATCACCTACCCCGTGGAGCCCAACCTTACTTACCGACATGACAGAAACACAACACCACCAAAAGGTAGTGTCCTTTTACTGTTTGATACAGTGCGATTCAAACTTTACGACGGGTGTTTAATTACAGTCCGAATCTGTATTGTGAATACACACGCACCAAATTTTTATTTAATGCACCGCGACTTGCGCTTACTTCAGACTCGTTTAAGTAATCATAATATAAGTCATCCTTTTGTCGGAAGTTAAGACTAAAACAAAAAGGGAAGATACGGTACGCTCATACTAGCATGAAATAAAATATGATCCGATTCAACTACATAAGCAGCTCACACACGTCTGTAAATTAACATTCAATCGAGCGAGCGAGACAGAACTGTACGCGTCAACGCAGCGCGAGCGAAACGGCGAGTCCGCATGGCCTAGCTGTATTGTTGTCCTTTTTTTTTGATAACAAAATGGCGATTACGTAAATAAAATTCACAACAAACCGTGATTTTTAAGAAAAAAAAATATTTTACAGTTTTACAAATGAAAAGTGTTGCCGAGTCATTTATTATCTGATTTTAACTATTTGTGTTCTTTATAAAAGCATGGAAGGCGTTGTTTTATCTTTATAATACATAACGCAATATTGTTATATTGAGTGCACATGCAGCGTGTTTGAATGTCCAATTGTGACTAAAGCGAATTGTGGTCATTCATCACAATTTAAGCGGATCACTTTTGAGCCGCGAGTGCCGTATCTTCCTTTTTGTTTTAATCTAAGGTCGGAAGTGATTATGCCACTAACTAATATAATGTTTTAGCTCTTATACCTTTTTTTAATAATGTGAATCCCTTGGTCACGCCATAACTTGAGAACAACTCTACAGATTTCATTCAGCTCTTTTAAGGTACACCAATATTTTGTTGATGGTTCTTACGGAAAAAACCTAGATATTTGAAATCATTTGGCATGATTGGAACATTTAGTCACAGGGGACATGACCCCCCCCCCCCCCCCCCCCAAAAACTGTTTTATGGAATAATGATTATTTTATTCCAGATACCTATTTTTTATTAGTGTAGTGAGTGACCCCCTCCAAAATTTCAGGCTGCGACCGCACCTGAGTACGTCCGGCCCGTCTTATAACTCGGCCCGGGACATATCAGAATCAGCACGTCAGTACAACTGTTGATGGAAACTATTGATGCCTGCCTACGTACCAGACGGATGAGCATCCTGTCTAGCCAGCGAAGTACGTCCGGTCCGTCTTCTAACTCGGCCCGGTAAACCACCAGGCGGGCCATTACTACGGCCGCCGCTTCTTGGTCGAAACCGGCCGATATATGATGGAGGTTGACAGCCGCGTCGCCCCAACTACAAATAACATAATTATATCATTAGGCTTTTTCTCACTATCGAGGCAACATTTCGTTTAACATCGTCATCAGCAGCTTATTATTATTCCTACTGCTGGGGCACAGGACTTGGCTATGGATGGAATACGCAGATTAGGCCAAGACCTACACTTTGTGCTAATAACTGCAAATGCAACCGGGACCAACGTCTTAACATGACACGAATGATCTCGAAATGCCGACAAACTGTGTTGCAGTTTGGCAGACTTAGCATAAGTTTTTGTAACCTTTTTTTTTTTAACAAATAAAATAAATCCAGAACAGACCAGCCATTGCAAAAGTTGTTTAACTTCCAGGATCGCAACCAGTTGCGCAATCGAGCGCCTTCAGCCCTTTAACCTTATGCCTTGACCACACGTACCGAGTAAACGAGTGAGACAGTGCTCTCGGCCTAGTACTCGGTACATATAAACATATGCCAAGTGCTCGGCCGAGCGCCGATCACTGTCTCGGCCGACAAACATTTTACTATCTCGCCCGTTTATTCGGTACGTGTGATCAGAGCATTAGTAGCCTTTAAGGCCAACATGTTTGGCGCCGTTGCTTCCACTTACTTCCTGGCGACAGTGGTGACTCTCACGCGCCGCTGTCCACTAGAGTGCTGATACTGTGTTATAAGTTGAACGCAACCGCGCCCGCCTTGAGGCACCGCTGCGTGTTGATTGACAACCTGGTAACGAACAATAAACTCACATGAAATTTTATACTTTTGCTGATTTTATGTATTTTAATTCAAAATTCCATTAACCAATAAAAATAATATTATGCATAAGCCTAGTCCAGACATTTTGTTAGCACAAGGTAAGGCTGCAATTGGTAGCTGCCTTCTAATTTCACAGTATAGTGGGGTCACTTTATCCAGCAATTAGTGGTGCGCTTTCATCATCACTAAAGATGGAAATCAAGTGACAAGGATTGAAAATTGTTACACGAAACAAAGCTGTCATTGATTGGAGTAATGACATGAAAGCCCTACCCAACAATGACAGAACAAAAATGTTTTATAATTTCAATTTTTAAGCATTTAACTGCCACATTTTTAAATATAGACAAAATGTTACTAGAAAACATTCCACGCAGCAGGCAGCAGACGGGACTCGAACCCACACCCTCCGCTTTCCAGGCAGATGCACGGACAAATTATGCTAACGCGACCTTAATGACCGCCGAATTTCTTCTAGTATTTCTTAGGCTGCAAGGCAGCGCTATATCTTCGCATTGTAGGTAACCCACAATAGAGTAGTTTTTGTAATAAATTAGAAACAAGCACAAATTTAATTCTATTACCTCAAAAAATATTCCCATAGTGGTGCTTGGAGTAAAGGTGCACATTTTCCATTGGCATGTGTTGCCCATGCCCACTTCCTGGTCAGACACACATGGACCCTTCACATTCAGTGAAACACATGAACCAATTGCTCCAGAGACTGGAATGAAAAGTTTTATTTAAGAAAATTCTTTACTACTTGGTACACACATAGTTTGTAAGCTTCAAGCATCGCATATAAAGATGAAAAACTTAAGAACAATGAAAAATGAATTTCTGAACTACAGTTGTTATTTTATATTTTAATTAGAGGGCAGTGGACTTAATTCTGGCATGATTTTATCCTCTATCCTCATCCTGACGCGCAAAAAAGTAAATTCCTTGGAAATTTAAACAAAATTTCTGAAATCATAACACTCAGTATATGACTACTTACTTTTCAATTCACGGGAACATTTTACTTCTAAAGTTCCATTAAATGCCATTTTATAGTCTCCTTTTTGATCTTTAGCAAAGACTCTTTGGAATGTTTGTTTAAACAATGAAGAGTTGAATGAGTCACCCATAACCATATGACCCCTGAAAAACAAATATGTCAACTATTATGGTTTCTTTACATTTCGAATGTAATAAATCATTGTCACCCAAAGAAAATGTTTACTAGAAAAAATATAATTTAAGTAAACATCCAAGCAGTAAATATTTATGAAAATGAATTCACACTTTTAAAAATATATATGATAATATATATCATATCAAGATAACATATTTAAAAAATGTGTATTGATTTCATTCGTGATAGTGACATAATTTTATACATAATGTAATTTTAAAGTTACAAAATTGATAGTAATTGTTACTTCATTCAGTCATTATTACATACCCTGTTGAATTACAACATTGTTTCATTTCTAAAAGTCCTGTTTGGTCCAAAGCACACGAATAAATATCTATGCAGTGCCCATTTGTTGCTGACCTCAAGGACAGAGTTTCATAATGCTTAATAGCCTTCTTCATATATTTGGCATTGTCTTTGTGTATATCATGATGAGAACGGATGGGCTGCTTCAGCTCATCATTGACTACTTGACCAGGGCCTTGGGAGCAAGGTCCACCAAGGAACATCATTATCCTTGCTCCAGTGTTGGGATATGTAACTTCTAAGAGGCCAACAGCCAATGAAAGAGCTACTCCACTGCTTCGCAGTGGCCTCTTTCCTACTCCAAGGGGCCATGGATCCCTTCCTAGTTCGCCAAGCAGATCAGTCAAGGCCATATCACATTGCTTCACTGGTTGTAAGAACCGGTGGGCTGGTGGCTGAGTAGCAGGTGCCCCAGGACGCTGTTGAGGATTAGGAGCATTGACACGGCCAATAGCAAGCTGTTCTTGAATTTGCTTGGCTGATAAATCCTTTGTTCCCTTGAAGACATAACATTTCGATATTCCATCAGTACCTGTCAATATTTTGCTGTTTTTAATCTGACAAACTATTTAGTCTTAGTAATAAATAACAGTAGTTTTCACAAGCTTACCTAGTTCATGGATTTGCACCATGCGACCAAATGTAATAAGACCAACCAGTGCATTCTGTGGCATAAGACTTAAAGATGTCTGCAGCGAGTCTTTAAGTGCCCCAAGTTCCTCTTCATCCATACAAGTGTCCACTACTAGAAGAAAAATGGGGGGCATTGTTTGAGCACGAGTGATTGTATACTCTATTGTTGAGAAGTTAGGTATCAATTCAGCTGGTTGATGCTGCTCCGATATGGCAGCATATTGTGGTGGAAACTGAAAGTTAAAAGATTGGTAGGTGTAAATTTTCTAATAAGAAATCCTTATATTCAATAAGTTGAGCAAAAGTAGTAAGAATTAATGTGAATACTTACAGATTGTTGCAATAACTTAACAAAACATTGCAATAACTAAACAAAAATTTATTTTAACAGAAGATAAATACAAACTTGTTTACCAAAAAATTGAGCATTCTTTTATTGATCAAATAATTGACTTAATACAAGCTAAAATTGTTGATAAGCATAGGTACTTACTGGGTTGCGTTGGAAACAAAAGTTGCAAACCCATAATTTAGCTCTATAATCCACTTGACACATTGGATTAAGTATAGCCCTGCAGGTATTCCGTGTGCAGAGCACTGGTTCATACTGAATGGGCGGCAAGTCCGGCCGCTCCTTCAACGGCTGATACAAACAAGCCAAAGGAACTACCAGTCTCGTCGCTTCGATTCTACTCGATGGCCATACGTTCCATGTAAATCGTATGCCATCTCTATCCTCGTTTTGCTGAATGAATTCCTCGTAGGTAGCCATATCGCCGTTCTAATTATGAAACATTAATATATAAGTTGAGAATAAAGTGCTTATTACATGCTTAATAAATATGAGATAATCAATATAAAAGGATTGATATACTTACCAGGTGATCATGCGGCGATGATGTAAGGTATTTATTAACAATATAGTATTATCTTACTTTATATTCATTCAGAAAACAATCTTCTAACATCATAGAAAAATCTCAGCGGACAGCAGACAGAGCTGATTTGGCAAACGTCAAAAACCGTAGACAAATCAGCTGTCATTATCGCCACGTCATTTTTGAAGACGCAGTACAACATTATCCAAAATTATAAGCCATTATTTTATTTAATAATTAATTGAGTGATAATAATGCACAAATTAAAATCAAATAAACAAATTGTTAAACTTTGATTTCGTTTTGTTATCATAATTCTGCCACAAATTATAGAAGATGACAAAGACAAGTAGATGTAGCGTCGTTGTCTCTGGACGTATTGATAAACGTTTCATTCAACGCAATAAAACCACCAGGATATTCAGCAATAATAGATATTAATTAAGTAAAGACTTTCCAATTAAACCAATAAGTATATATGAATACTTTATTCCAATGAATATCAATTTATTACGGAAGTTATCACAAAACGATGTAATTAATAGTCATAAAAAGTTTGGACAATTCGATGGGTGATAAACAGCCGGCATTAATGGAACGTTATTGAATGAAGTATTTTTTTTTATTTTTAGGACATAGTAAAATATATTTCAATAATTATGGACAATATTTATTAAATATCTCGAGTTTTTCCTTAGATTATCAGTCTTTTCGGTACAAATTGTGTATATGAAATTAATGAGATGACATTGCTTTGTTTCAAGAGCAGGAAGTTTACGCCAAAAAGTGCGACTGCGCACTGGCCAAATTAGTAGTGTGAAAGAAAATGGCGATCAGCGAAAGGCGTCCGGAGTTAACGTGATGAAAAACATTGTTCAAAGCTCAATTACATAGTGTTATAGTTATTAATTGTGTCAGATGTAGATTAATTAAGTGTTAATGAATAGTGATTGTGTATAAAAATGGCTGCGAATATGTACAGAGTCGGCGGTAAGTAGCAATAATTGGTTATTTTTGTTGTAGCATTGCCGGTTCACCGCCAGCCGACTAGCGGTGCTTTGCTTTGATTGTCGTACCTTCGTTAATTGCAAACATTAATTAATTCAATATTCCTCTAAATTATTTATTTTCTTTTGTTATTACGAAAACGAAATGTTTTACTTGTCAAGAGGTCATGTTTTGCGGGAAACTTACATTTATTTTACCAAATATCGTCAAATAGGACATAGCATTTGCATCTAGGTATCATTGTATCGGTTGCCTGCGTACCGCTGCTTAGACATCAATTACCTTCATTTATTTGATAATGATTTGGCGTTTTCGGACTTTTTTATGGAAGTTGTCATGAGATTTTAGGTTATATCCGATGTTGTCAAAACATTTTAGAGTGAAACTTGTGTGTTCGATGCAGGTTATGGTTAGAAAATGAATATTTCGGGCACTGATCAGTTCGAAGTAGTATTTGTACGATGTTCTGATGATGCGGTTTGTTTGGGTGCTTATGACCGGCGCTTGGGTTCCCTAGATTAGTTGATAGTGTAGTAGCGGGGGCCTCGGCCGCCTCATATACCGCGCTCCGCGGTCTCCTCGCTAGCCGCGTTGAATGTTAATTAGCTCTTCCTTTTAAACTACTTCCTATGTTAATATTTAGTGTACCTTTAGATATCGATAATATTACTTTGACATGTTTTGTTTGGAAACTTTAATGACTACAGATACTTTATAAAACTATATAAGTACTAATAAAATCTTGTATGGATGAAAATGTTCTACTGCTTTTGTTAATTAAAATTACATTTAACCTCTCAAGTTTTTGTCATTCACAGTGACCTCCTAGTGTCTGCATACATAATGCATTTGTAGTTTTATCTCCAACAAAGAATTTCATGACCTACATTCACTACCTTGAGAGTTTTTGTGTGCTGTGAACAGTTTATTCAATAACAATGACAAGTACTTTTATTAAAATAGTTACTATAATATATCTAAATAGAAAATTAAATAATGTATAAAATAATGGTTCTTTGTTACACAGCTAACAGCTGATGTTAATTAAATATATTAAAAAGTGTAGCATTCCGTGTCAGAGACTTAACTTCTTGCATACTAGATATTTTTTTGGAATTCAGTGATAAACTTACAATAAACATCTGAATAAAATAAATAATAATAACAAGTTGCATTATTAAACATTATCCTATCATACCACACCATACCGAATTTTCTCATATAATATGCTAAAACTGACATAATTTATCTACTATCAATATGATAAATGTGCAATCCACTGCACTAAACCATCACAGTTACTTCTTAGCTTTAAGGCTAAAAACAACATGTGACATTCAAATTGTGTATTCTAATATGCATTGTTTGATAAATTTAACTTTGGTTTTCCAAAATATCCCTAAATTCACATGTGTAATTTTTCCTTAAAAATATCCTTGAAAATGCACATTTTTGGAAAATTTCTTGAATTTATTATGTCTTATTGTAAGACACAGGTGAAAGACCCATATCTTACCTGTTGCTGAATGTAACTTCAGATTGCTTTTATATTAAGATAATACTTTTATTGTATCTAATCACTTTTGAATGATATTTGCTTCTTAATACAAATCACCTCTCCATATTGATTCTTAATCTATCTCCATAAATTTAAGAAATATTTAATAACTTCAACCACAAAATAAACTTCATTTTATTAAATAGTAGTTTGGTTGGTAATATTTTTTAATGAATATCTATTTGGGTCAGAACTGAAAATCAGCAATTTACTCTCTGAGTAAATGTTTCGCTGAGTTTTTTCCCCTTCCCATCTCTGCTGAACACAAAAATACCATAGTATAGATAGATAAATAGAAAATGTTGCATGTTTTAAAGAATTTATATAATTGTAAAATTGAATGTGAATAAAGTTTAATCTATCTATTGTTTTAAAGACTTCATCCACATGTTTACAATTGTTACATTTAGCCTACCATTATGACTAGGCAATATTGGCAGAGGTGAAGAAAACTTATTAATTTAATTTCATCCACATTTCAAAATATATGTCTATGCTTTGGTGTAGGCTACATATCCAATTATTTTAGACCTTCACTTTTTATATTAAATAAGCAAAGTGGGTACCTGTGATCTAGTAGTTGCGTCATTAATAGACTAATTGAACTAGACAAATATGTATAGCAAATAAAAATCTAGAAAATATGAAACAATCACCTAAAGCATATTCAAATCCAGTGCTTGCCAGATCTAATAGCATAACAGAAATCTATTTTCACCACACTATTTAATTTATTATATACCAAAATTTTATCCTCACTATATATTAATATAATAAGATCATAACTATAAAATACAACTTTTTTTTAATATTCTTATAATTGCACATCACAAATTGTATGAAATCATTATGCATGATACAGCTAGGTAGGTATGTATTGCTTAATTCTAGACTGTAAATGTTACCATTTATTTACATGGCCTTCAATTCTGTGAAAGTAAGAGTTCACTGACCTGTTAAGTATCAAGCAAGTGCTGGTTTAAACTATCATATCAGTTTATGCAACAGCAAGAAGAACATAGCAAGGTTATGATCATTGTTATATTATGTATATAGAGCAATATATATATATATGTAGAGTATGTCATCCAATAAAAGATTTGTTATCATAATGTTTTATTCATTGTTAGATTTGCTCCTCTTTGATAAGACAACACTTCCTAGGCAATATTATCAACTACAATGATTTTTTGTAAAAGTATTTATCACAATAGTGCTAAATGGTATGCATATTAAATCTACTTATTACCTGATGACCTTGTGATCACCTATGTCTTAATTTGCTACTTAAAGCATGCGCCGCCATGACGCGGCTATTTCGGCAGCCACATTTTGTGCATGCTTTGTTCGATCAGAGAGCAACACAACCTGGCACATATTGCCACGCCAGATTGGCATTAATATTTATAAGAAGCATACATTTTTGATGACACTACTAATTGTGGCCATCCAGCACCATTATAGATTAAACGAAACTATAAATAATTAGTCTAAATCCTTACATTTACAGTCATATTAGTATTTGGCGTCAGTGCCATGCTAATCCAAGTACTAAATGGGAACTCAGATCCATGAGTAACATGGCCCTGATCTATAATAATTTGACTATAAATGTACTTTAGATTTAAGTAGATAAAAAATTGTATTATTTATTAAGTTTTTCATTTTTATAAGCCTGAGTAATATAAACTTACTAAATCTTCAAAAATAACCAATAAACGACATGAGTAGTTACTGCTCGTAATTAAGGAGTTCCGTTTTCCATCTCCGAAAGTAAAGATCTGATGTACACCAAATTAATATGGGACCATATCGCCAAGAAACTCTTTAACAAAAAAAATAATCATCAAAATCGCTTAGCAAACCTCGGCGATATACGCAATCAACAAAAAATTATGTAATGACGAATTGTATCCCTCCTCCTTATTGAAAACGGTTAAAAATTGATTGCACTGAGATGTTTGTGATCGCCAGCCCTCTTAACTCCCAGTGCAATGTAGGAAGGCAGTACTGATAGTTCTAATAAGGTACCGACATATGAAAGTTGTAGGTTTAAAAATTTACATATCGAACACTATGACATCCATATTTTATTAGCTTTAGCCATGACTAAAAACAGTAGCCTTATTGCATCTTCTCTACTTACCATTAGGCACCTTCCCTACCGCCGGCGACTAGCGAGAAGCTAGTAAAACTGACTTCTTAAGGAGCGACAATAAACTTTTATGGCTTTAGCCTCTATGACAAGTCAGTATAAAGCGAAACTACGCGCGCAGTGTGAATTCAACTTATTACTGTAACTAGTGACCCAACCTCTGCGCGTTTCCGCATAGTTTTTGTTCTCGAGCATACTCATGTATCTAAAGGAGGTGATACTCCGTTGATACATGATAATCCGTTCACTACTTTTTGAGATCATCGCAAACATACGCAAAGACAGATTCGGCGGGAAAAACACTATAAAAATATGTAAGAATAATGTACATATCACCGTATAATTAAACAAGCCGTTAGTTTATGGGTCATGCATGGATCATTCGATTAAAAGTTGACGACTGAAGAGTAGGAACAAAGTATGTTGTAAAGTTATTAACTGACAGCTGTTAAAGCATCAGTTAAGAAAATTAAAGCTTGGATGCGATTTTTAATGAGATTGATATGTTTTTGTGACGACGACGTTGTTCCTGAATTAGAATTTAGAGAAAATATTATAACTTTATATAGACTTATCCTTTACAAATTATGTTTATTGCAATTAAGTTATTTTTATGATTATAGTACTGTTAATCGTATTCTTGTCTGCAGCGGCGATAGGACACTGGATTTTGGATCTTTCAATTACGACACTGGCCAAATCAATTATCGATTTGCTTCAGAGTTCCTTCTGAAATTACACGAATTATAGGAGTAAGCCCCAAAGAAAAATTAGAATTTAAATTAAATGACAATTATTACCAAACAACAAAATTAAAATGCTGATTCAAATCCCAGGACGTAAAAAATATTTTGGCAATTTTCTAGCATTCTTCAAAATTACCATGAACAGTAAGAGCGGGCATACGCGGGACTGCTGGAGCAGTTAGTAAGTGATCAACATACATTGACTGCTCAAGAAATCAGAGTCAACAACTTCAAGCGGCCAATGATAACTGTTCCAGCAGTTTATACCAACTGCTCGAGCGGTCCGTGTTTGTGCATACGTAGAAGACTGTAGTTCACAATGCAATCGGGATGGACTGTTTCAAGCTAACCATGTATGGCGACACTTACAATCGCTGTTTTTCTAATGTTTATGCTGGTATGGAACTCTGAGTCTGACTCGTGTTTGATGAGGATTTAGCTTTGCTGAATTTTCATCATTAAGTTCAATTTGCCGTTTACATCCTCACAAGATACGCATAACATAGACTGCAGCTTCACTTTC